AGGGGAAATATTACTATAGATCCTATAGAAACAAAAGGTATAATACAGGAAAGTCAAGAAAAACTTTATGCCAATCAATTTGATAATTTTAATGACATCAACATATTCGCTGAAAGACAAACTACCAAAGCCCATGTAAGAAAAGATAACCTATCCTGGCAAAGCGGGACATAGCTGTAATGCCTTCAAAAAGGCAACAGGATTTGCAAGTTCACAGCCTGCCTTGGGCAACTAGCAAGACGTTGCCCCGAGATACAAATGAAAATATAAAAAACAAATAAATACATACGTACACATATACAAACAATAAAATAAAATGGGGATGTGGCTTAGTGTGCAGGTCTTGGGTTCAATGACCAATACTGAAAGAGAAAAAAAAAACAAAAACAAACCGAGTAGATAACCTAAATAGTTCTATATCTATTGAAGAAACCCCAGTATCTCAGAACTGTGTGAATAAATTCATTGTTTACCTTAAGCCATTTATGATTCTTTTATCTAAATTCCTCTTATCCTTCATTTTTTTCTATCTTCATTATCTTTCTATAGTCAAAGTCTCATCTGGGCTATTACTTAGGGAAAAGTTTTAAGCTTTAAACTTCCTAAGGGTCCATTTCCACAAATACAAAATAAAAGGATTAGCCTTCTTCGAATCTTAAAATTCTGTGATGCTCACCTATTATGTCCTTCAAGGTTGCTAAGTTCTCAAATTACTTATTAGTACATATTGACTGTTCTAGTCCTTGAGTGAGCTATCCTTAGCTAAAGCCATCATACATAATTTACCGTCTCAATTACTGTTACAAACAATACTTTTCTTTGTATATATCTTATCTCTACAATTCCACTATAAGTTCTTTGCTGGTAGACAGTAAGTCTACTTATTTATCTTTTTTTTGGTTCTGGGGAATGAGCCCAGAGGCAACACCACTAGCCTTAATTTGTTTTCTAGCATAGTACCTGGATCACAGGAGAAACTCAATTAACACTTGATTCATTAAGAAATAAGTATTTCACTCCTTGTTTTTGCCATTCTTGGTACTTTTTCCACTTGCTTTATGTTTTTCAGAGGGTATGGTATCAGACCTGCATAATACATTACAAATATAAATCCTTCCTTTTAAATTCAAAAACAAAAAAGTAGTTTTATGACATATATACTAAATAGGAAGAAAAAAGGAAGCTTTCTCATTTATTTCCTACCATCTTTCTGATGGCTTCTTTGACACACAACAGCACACACAACATAAACTAGGAAGGACCTGTCTGAAATGGCTCTTAAAACCCTTCTGGGGATCACAGGTACCTCACAAGCCACCTACTCAAAAACAGCCTTTGTACTGGTTTCTAGAATTCATTACTTCACCTGTATTCACAGTGAAATCCATTTATACATTATAATTAAGAGTCTAAACAATCACCTGTAAAATGAAATTTTACACTGTACCTCTTCCAAATCTTGTTAAAAATATACCCGTCCCTGGCATTCATGGACTGATTTCAGCAAAACCACCCACACACAACATCAGATACCAAAATCCAGACACTCACAACCCCAATCTAAAATAACATGGTGCATATAACCTATGTATATCTTCCTATATATTTTAAATCATCTCTATATTACTTCTAATATCTAATACAACACAAATATTATATAAGTAATTGTTATACTATAATACTTAGGGACTAGTAAGCGGGGGAAGAAGCTATACATGTTCAGTATAGATGCAATTTGTTGTTTCCAAATATTAGTGACCCATGTTTGGTTCAATCTGTGGATATGGAACCCACGGCCAGAGGGCAGCACTGATCCCTGGGGTATCAGGGGCTTGATAATTACACAGAAGCATTTTTACTCATTTATTGCTTTCTCATTATTAACCATTCCCAATGTCAAACATTTCTTCCTAGTGATTTCAGTTAACAAAGTTTATATTATTTCATCTTCATAAGTTATAAACTGTAGTTGAAACACAATACTGTCAAATTTTACACTATACTGAAAGATTTTATTCGTTTCCAAAACATAAAGCTAAAGTCAATCAATTGGTTTTAAACTATTTTATAAAAACTCTTCCACTACTGTTCACTCATCCTACATTATTATACTTACTTTCATTGGCATAAGTGCAAGGAAATCTGTGATGAGATTATGGGTTCTACGAAGATAAAATTCTTCCTGATAGAAGTTTTCTGTCGCCACTACTGATTCAGTGAGGAACAGGAAAACATTGTCAGCAACTGCAAGCTCTGCCATTGTTTCATCTGCTTCTGTGAATTCAGCCAGTGCTAGAAATATATTAGAAAAGAAAATAGAGAGAAGTCATTAACTCAGGTAATATCCCCTAATATTCTGCTGATGGTTCAAATTTCAGACATCTTCTCACCCTTCTATCATGCGCCATGCACAAACTAAGACTAAGTATAATTGTAACTGACACGTAAACACCAAAGAACTACTGAAAAAGTGCAACAGAAAAACCCATGCTCTTTACAATAGTGAGTGATGAAAACTAATTTAGAGATGTGCAATCTAATAATGACGAGAAAGAAAGCTGTTATCTAAACATGAACATATGAAAATGATGGAAAGGTGCTTTTTTTCGTAGTACTGGAGACTGATTCCCAAAAAGCCTTGAATTCTGACCCTCCTACCTCAGCCTCTGGAGCAGCTGGGATTATAGGCATATGGCAACATGCCCAGCTGTAAGGCTTTAATCCCAATGAACTCTGTGGGTTATTTGGAAAAGTCTTCAAGCCAGTGAGTGAAGACCTAAACATGACTAGTTAAATTACTAATTTGGTAACCAGGTAGCTAAAGTTGAAAAACTACAGATAAATTGGTCTACTTATAATTTTTAACACTTTACTTGGAAAATTTCAAATAGATATCTAGACAGACTCATAAAAAAATTCTACATACTCATCAATTCATTTCACCTGTATCCTCCCCTCCTCCACCCATATTACACTGAAGCAAATTCCAAGCAATTAGACATTTTATCTATATTTCAATATTTAACTCAAGATACTTAAACAAAAGAAACTACATATACATATGATACCATTATTGTATATTCAAAAATAATTTCTCAATGTCAAATAAGCAGAAAGTAGTCTAATTTACAATTGTCTCGTCAATGCAATGAAAGATTTTGGCTTTGCTTTTTGCTTCTTATCTTTTGCACCATCTGTTTCTTGAAAAAGACTCAAATATAGTCTCTACATTGCAATTAATGGACTTTGTCTGTGTGCTAACTTCGCCGTTCAGGTGCTAAAGAAACTGGGTCTCTACGCCAGTGTTCTCCATAATGTGGGCAGGCCCTGCATCCCAGAGGTGCCAGTCATCCTCCTTGCTCTGGACAGACTGAAAGTTGCCAGCTTGATCTAGAGAGGGTTGATGGGGATTCAAGAAAAACACTGTTGATTGCTTCTTTTAATTTGAAATATCAAATTTCTATAGCTCCATGTCAATCAGCTTTGAAAAAGAACTGGCACACAGCTTATTCTGTTGGACTGCCAGAGAGACCAAATACATACTGCTCCTAAAAGTACATTTTCACTGCCATGAAGAAGGGCAAGAATATATACATATATTATAAGGCAGAGTCAACAAGAAGAAAATATATGGGTTTAATATATATTTTCTATTTTGAAATAAAGTATGCATGTCTAATGATACTAAAATTACTAATATTAGCTAAACATTATTAAAATTTTTATGGTTAAAAAATCTTGGAGAAAGGCCAAGGATTTACCTCAATAGTGCCGTCACCTGCATCGCAAGAGCAAGGTGCTGAATTCAATCCCCAATAGCCAAAAAAAAAAATTCTTGGAGGGACAGGGATTTAGCTCAGTGGCACTGCACCTGCCTGGCAAGAGCAAGGTCCTGAGTTCAATCCTGGGTACTGGAAAAAAAAACTCTTTGGGCTATAGCATAGCTCAGCGGTAGGACGTGTACTTAGCAAGCCCAATCCCCAGAACCACAAAAACAAAACAAAATAAAACAAAACACTAATACCCTTAATTATTAAAGCTTATGGAAAGATAAAGCAGCTGGACATGGTGGTGGATCCCTGTAATTTCAGCACTCTGAGAGTCTGAGGCAGGAGAATAACATGTTCAAGACCAGTCTGGGCAACTTAACAAGTCCTATCTCAAAATCAAAAATCAAAGGGCTAGGAATACAGCTCAGTGTGAAAACCCTGGATTCAATCTCCACATGGCAAGAACAGAGAAGGGAAGGGGAGAGAAAGGGAGGGGAGGGGAAGGGAGGGCAGGGATTGCAGCGTATAAAACCAGAGTTTAAGTAGCCAAAGATCTAGGACTTTAAGCTAAGGCTATGATCCTAGGCTTTTCTTATCTATTATTCTACAGCAAACTATTACTATTCTATTGTGCCTCTCAAGATTAGGGCAATGGTATGAGAAATTATGGTATAAAAGTTTTATTATCACACAGGCACATAAAAGTTTGAAGGGTAATTCTATTTCAACAAGTACTGAAATAAAGAGTGAATATGAAAAAGGGTATGTATAGTTGAGGAAGAGAATTTATAAATGAATATAAAGGTCTAATTGATCTTTTTGATATCTTTTTTTTTTTGGTATCAGGGATCGAATTCGGGACCTTGTGCTTATGAGCCAGGCAGTGGAACCACTGAGCTAAATCCCTGGCCCCAATCTTTTTGATTTAATATTTAGTAGCTATTTGATAATTTTTTTATACGGTGGCAAAAGAAAAACTAACACAAAAATGCTCCTGCAAACTCCTTGGGAACAGCATGAGTAAAGTGTGGAATTTTACAATTATAAGATGCTGGAATCTACTGACTCTTTCAGACAAGAAAACATTGTTGAAGAGATGAAACTTAAATAAAGTCTCTCTAGTGTACCATAAAAACCCACAGATGGGACAATTCTTCAGGCTTCAAATTACAATAAAAGCAGAGTATATAACCTGTTAGGGCAAACTACTATTAGTATGATAATTACATGAATCTAAATAACAGAAAAGGGTACGCTACAGTGAGTAATCCATTATTAAAAGTCAGAATTCCATGTCTGTTCTTGATCAATCCATGTATTTCCTTTCTAAAACCCAAGTATATTTTTAAAAACAATGAATTCTTAAGTTGACACAATGTGAAAAATTAGTGTCTAAACAAATGAAGAAAAATGTATAAAAATGAAATTTATAGTGTTTTAATTAAAAAAATATTTAGGGTTGGGGCTGTCTATAGTACAGCATTTTCCTAGCATGTGTGAGTGAAGCCCAGGGTTCAATTCCTGGCGCCCCAAAAAAAAGAAAAAAAAAAGAATGTAATACCATCATTTCAATATTCAAACTCTTACTCTAAGGTAAAAGAGCTTGTCACTAGATCGAAGAAAGGTAAACAATTCATGTAATTTATTTTGGGAAACAAAGGGAAAAACATTACTCCACTACTTTAGTTTCTTCCAATGTAACTCTAAACATCTTCCTATGCTTACACTTATCATACATGCCAAAGAAAACACCTCTTTAAAAATTTCATTAACTGCTGCTAACACTGCTTCTCTTCCCAAAATTACCTACAATTTACCTGTCACATCAGGTAGCTGAGATATTCCCCTCAGTGCCAGTGCCCAGGCAAGTCTAACAGTAGCTTGCAGCCCTGGAAGCTTCCACGGCTGTGAGTCCTGAAGACGAGAGTGAATTGTGGCGATGTACTGTCTCTCTGACAATAGTGGAAGCTGATGAATCACATCTGAAAACACACAAATAGAGTACATTACCATAAATCCTCATTTCTGACATACTAGAATGTCTAAGTCAGAAAATGTGAGCATTTTCAAAAGGAATTATGACTAATTAACATTAGTGTTTGCCATACTAAAAAGTACATTATACTATATTAAGCACTGCATACACACTAAATGAAAGAATAGGTAACACTCCTAAACTTTAGTTATACTACCTTGAATGGTTTTTATAAGTGTAACAGAAATTAGAAAAAAGGGCCACTCAGTTTTCTACATATAATTCTAAAATATAAATACT